CAGTGGCGTGCTGGGTACTATTTTTCTGGGGGGGCCAGTGGGCTGTCAAACAATATGCGCCCCTATAATATTACACTTGATAAACGAGGGCCGAAGGCACGAGCCGAGCGCCGAAGGTGCGAGGTTTGTCTAGGGGGGTCCGGGGGCATGCCCCCCAGGAAAATTTTTGAATTTAGAGTCTCTGAAATGCCATTTCCTGGACTTTGACAGAAATCTGATGGTCAGGAAACGGCATTACAACGTGTCGAAATTTGAAAATTGGTTAGAATTTAGTAGTAGCACTTAAATTGGGCAATGCTAACTACTTCCAGCAATTAATCTAATCCCAATTTTATTCTCTACTGATCTGAATTCATTTACAACTTACAGCTCTTTTATACAATAACACACGGACCCCACGCATATGCATGATTCCCGTGATCGCTTCGAAGCCTGATCAATATTCCGGTAATGAGACATTGCGTGTGATCACTTATCATGTTTCTATATGAACGAGTGATTTCGTGTGAGTCGTGAGGTAGCAAATACGGTAAGACAAAATAGTCTGCAATTTAATATACTCACTCACTTTGTCGCCTATGCGCTTAGTCTGTTTATAAGTGTATAAACACATCTTTCCTTGGCGGAATTAGTAACTATATTTCTACGAATGCGTTTCTTCCCACCTACTTTCAAAATTCGGCGCGGGATCGGCGCCCCCTTTTCATTTTTGCGCCCCTCAAAAATTGCCAGCTGGGGGGGCCGTGGCCCCCCGACCCCCCCTGCCAGCACGCCACTGATAGCCATGGCCTGATGGTCTTCGTGTAAAACGAATGAAAGCACTGTACAGAAATGTTCGTTTGCCAGAGTCAGTACGCCGCCTGTACGCGGGAAGGGGGTTGAAGAATGAAGGTCGTATGCGCAAGCTGCCAAGCTCTATAGTCAGAGCCCGTTGTCGAATAGAAGATAAGAATTTAAACATTTGCTTAAATGAAGATGGAGCCCTGGGATTTGTGAGAATGTTAATTAGTAAGAGAAGCTTCCTAAATTTAACAAGATCAAAGATTGCGATTATTCGAATCTGGGAAAAAAGAAGAACAGAAGGAGTAGAAAAGTCCGCGTCTAGAATAATACGCGCTGCACGCTTTTGCAGTCGAAGAATGCGAAGTAAAAGTGTTTTTGAGCAATTTCCCAAAGTTACAAAACAGTAGATAAGACTTGAATTAATACACGACTCAGGAGCTATAGAAACGAACAGCACAGTCCTTAGTTAAAAAGGGTTTAATCCTGCGCAATCCTACTATTAATTGTTGAACACAAGTTGTCAATATGCTTGGTCGAAATTAAAAACTCGTCAAGCGTTAAACCCAACACTTTTGCTTGCTTCACCAGGGAGAACGATCTGAAGTATTCTTAAGTTGTTGGGGAGAATGGATGAGCATATGGCCATGGTCTTGGTTTTCAATGTATTGGACATATTAGTCACCTGATTCGGTTTTGTTGAGTCCATGTTGGAAGAACCTTCTGTTAGTACGGTGGTGTCATCTGCAAACATTGTGGATTCTGAGTGCGAAAGTTGAGAAGGGAGATCATTGATAAACTAGAAGGTACTATCGAAAGGAAAATGCTGCCTCGCCCCAAGGGATGAAAGGTAGCATGCGCAATTTGCTGAATAAGGGGTGCTTATATGATCCCGCTTTGCCAGGACGAGATATGAGGCAGGATGATTTCTGTGTGCTGAAATAAGAGGGTGGGAAAGGGTATTTTCGTGAGCCGTGAATGCGTAACTTAAAGCGTAGATACTGTACCATGCTTAAATATACTCTTAATAAACCTATTATTATATTATTTTTATTAGAATCTAGTTTTTCGTGAACTTGCTTTTTTAAGACATGTGAATCGTGAAACGGCTTTTTTTCGTTGTGAAACGTGATCCATACCCCCCTTCCCACCCTCAAATAAGTCACGATGCATAATTCAGCAAAAACTAAATTATTTTCTAGAGATGGATTATTTATAATGGAATTGAATTGATTTAATGATTACTGACTTTGTAACCCAAAAAGGTTAAATTACACCAGTATTACATAAATTAAGAGAAGTTAAAATTACATAATAATTACATATTTAAGATTATTTACATTTGTAAAAACTTTATCTTTAATATACTTTGAGGTAAAAACGAATTCTTAAAACGTTCAGTTCTACAAACATAATTATGATATTTACATATCGGTCTTAGATCATATCCAGATAAAATTGTTTGTGGTAAAAGATCTTTGAGTTTTTCATTATCAATATTCTTCTCAAAGAAATGTTCGCATAATTTTTCTTGGCGATCTCTCAGCGACGTGATGTTAGTCGTGATCAGCGCTTCGTCATACTTTTGCGATGAAAGGTTAAGTTGATTCTCAACGCACGTTTTTGTATTTTTTCAATATCTTCACATAAATATTGTTGGATATTGTAATGCCAGACCTGGCACGCGTACTCCAAAACAGGTCTAATAATGGTAGTATATACAGTAATCAACGTGTCAATACACGCGTTGGACCTTTTTAGCAGCATTAGCACATAGAGCTTTTTTAACTATGTTGTTTATATGTTCATTCCACTTCATGTTATCTTGAACTATGATGCCAAGGATGCGGGCAGATTTCACTCGTTCAATATTAACTTCATCGACTGTTAAAGGAGGAAAGCAATGCTTCTTTTTTTGCAAAATCAATAACCAGTTTGCATTTTCCAATGTTTAGTTTCATATTATTACTCGTAGTCCAATTATCGATGTAATAAACCAGTTCTTGAAGGTTGCTGTTACAATCTGGGCCAATGGTTTCAGTAGTGGTGGTGTCGTCAACGTATTTCCATCGGTCTTTCCCGTCCAATCGGCGAGGAGATAATTTATCATGATTAGGAAGAGGATTGGGCCTAAAACAGTTCCCTGGGGTACACCACCATTGAGGATTTGCCATTTTGACATACAATGAATCATTCTGACCCGTTGGCTTCGTCGAGTAAGAAAACGTCTTATCCAGTTTGTTATTAATTATGGAATGTCCATATCAGATAATTTACTGAGGAGGATGTTATGATCAATATGATCAAAAGCTTTGGAGAAGTCCAATAAAAAAATTCTCACAGCGTTTTTCGGCACATCAGTTTCGTTTTTCAAATAATTAACTGTAAATGAAAGGTTGTTTAAGCATAATAACCTTCTTGAACCACAAGATCTTCTCTTGTAAGAAGATCTTCTTGAACCACAAGATCTTCTCTTGGTCATGCTATGTAAGTTTTTTTATGATATGCATTATTCAAATAGATGCATGTTTATTAGCATAGCATGCCATCACCAGGTGCCATGGCTAGCTTGCCATTGAATATTGTACAATGTTTATATAAAAATAGTATAGTATGTTGGCTGGCCGTATTCCTAGCTTCACCCCTGATAGGAATACGCATTCTATATCTATTATTTCTATGGACCTGCGGCGCCCTTAATTATTGGCTGTTGAGAACAATTTTAAAACACTAGTACGTATTTTAGATTTTAGAGCTTTCTAAACGTTCCTGTATTTTACTGTTATTAACAGTAAAGAATTATATTGAAAAAACTTTACCATGCTGTCTTGCTCTAATTAATATTAATAACTAATTATGGTGGTTGGAATATATACTGTCCACGTTCAATCTCGATCCCAGAGGATCGTGACTAAAACATCACACGAGTACATACGAGTAACATACAAGTACATACGAGTACATACGAGTAACATTAGATACATGACACAAACCATAGGCTTCACATATTTCACGGCATGGTTTGCTTTCAAAACCCTGTGAGCATGCACATAACCTACTACTGCATCTATACTATTATAGTCACTAAGGAATAAACTTACAATCCTTACATAGCCTCAATCACAACATGTGGCTGGACAAATATACGAACTACACAGTTAACGTTAACGTTAACAACAAAGACTAAGACGTTTACAATATCTTACTGCATGGTCTGCTTTCAAAACCCCGTTGAAAATATTAGAAATCCATTAGATATATAATGAATATAAGTAAACCACAGGTCCAAGACGCATGTAGATGTCCTACTACCTATCACAAAATTAAAATATTCATCGTTCATTGTCGCTGGATATGCAAACAACATACATATCGTTACACATGGAAAAGGCGGCAGTTTAAAATGTGATCGGGCCTGCGTAAATAGCTCAACAAGGATGTGCGAACATCTCCTGGCAGTAGCGCAAGTCCGTGGATCATTAAACGAGTTCTTGGCATGGTACCGATCCAAAAGAAGGGCAGATCCAAAAGAGGGCATAAATACAAAATGTTGGACATGGCATTAGGAAGTGCTCCAAAGAGCGCGGGCAAGAAGCCAAGCAATCGAAAGAAAAGCAACTCGCAGAAACCTCCTGTTACCGAGACTAGGGACTTCCTAGAAGGTAACCGATCTATCTTCGTCAGTCCACAAGCACCGGTATTTTCACTAAACGTAACTCCGGTTCCAGTCTTGCCTGCCATACAGCAACAAACAGAGAACAACAGGCTTAATAGTCTTTTCCTCGAAGCAGCTCCACACCAACCTGTTATTCAGAATGTCTTCCCGCTCTCCCATTCCCCCGTTCTCCCATTCCCCCGTTCCGGGTTTTAAAGATAGCCGGTTTCAGTCTATTTCACGTTTTTCGACAGAGAAGACGATCTTTTTGCCTGTATTCAATCTACAAACACTAAAAACAAGTTTACTACTCGTATTTTACTCGTATTCTACTCGTATTCTACTTGTGTTTTACTCGTATGTTACTCGTATGTACTCGTGTGTTACTCGTATGTACTTGTGTGTTACTTGTATGTTACTCGTATGTACTCGTGTGGTGTTTTAGTCACGATCATCTCAGAGCCTGCGTTCCTTGCAAAGGAACTCGATCAGGCTCTGGGATTGAGATTGCCCACCGTTCAGTTAATCAAGGAAATTTCAAGGAAATTACATCCCATTTCAAGCAAATTCAAAGAAATGTTAAGGCAAAATCAAGGAAAGTAAAGGACTTGCTTTTTTTGAAAGCTTTAACATGCATGAGTTGTTTTATTACGTGCATATGTTCTTGCATAATTAGACGGCATGTAGTAAAACATGGACTGGATCCGATTAGTAAAACATGGAATCTATTAGTAAAACATGGACTCGATTAGTAAAACATGGACTCGATTAGTAAAACATGGACTCGATTAGTAAAACATGGACTCGATTAGTAAAACATTGACTCGATTAGTAAAACATGGACTCGATTAGTAAAACATGGACTCGATTAGTAAAACATTCCTAAATGTAGTTCCTTGTCTGTTTTTTTGTAAATTGTAATTTTAATAACATCAACTTTAGTGTATAAGAGGGCATGTAGTAAAACATGGACTGGATTCATTAGTAAAACATGGTTCAGGGTCTTTTTTTAAGGATGTGTAACTGGAGAGGACATAATTAGCGGGGAACCTGGAGAAGTTCCAGTCGGCAAGTCTGTATCCAGGGCCGTAGCTAGCATGTATAGTTGGGCCGGGGGGGGGGTGTAGGCCAAAAATTTCCGAATGACGAAAATAATTTCCGAATATATCATGGCATACTAAGCCACGAAGATGTTTGCTATTCGGAAAATGAAGACGCAATTTACAAACAAAAATACGCATATTTTACGCACAGACATATTACAGAAGCAGTGCGGTAGGGAGTTTTTGTTTATTGGGGGCAGAAAGCGAGGGCCGGAGGGCCGAGGAAATTTTTAAATTTCGAAATGCCATTTCATAGAAATGTCTTTTAAATGCCATTTGCTAGACTTTGGGGAAGTTTTGACAGCCAATGCTGATGGTCAGAAAAAAGCGTTTTAGTATGTCGAAATTTACAATTTGCTTACCAATTTATAGTGACAATACAATTTTATAATATTTTCTCTGTTTAACAACTAAAATTTTGTTCTACTATTATTCACATAATTTTCCGAATAGCCAACCCGATTTTCTGAATATGTTGATTCTAAAGGGGTCTGGTGGCATGCCCCCCTGAAAATTTTGGATTTTTTGAAGCTCAGATAAGCTATTTCCAGCATTTTGAGGAGTTTTCCAACAAGAAATTAACCTTACACTAGTCCCTGAAAATCAAACCAGCTGATCTTCTTGGACTGGTCAAATCGATCCCTGCACCAAATAGGGCAGGATATTTTTTCCCCCAGTTTGTTAGTGCAGGTATTTTTTTTTGTTCAGAATAGCCTTGCAGGAATTTTTTTTCATAATCACCAACACCCCCCTCAAAAGTTAAATGGTCGGCCCCTTAGTAAAACTTGGACTCTTGGTAGGCATGATGTGCTATTCCACTGAATGATTCAGACCAATTTTTTCCTGAAACATATAAACAATTTTTCATTGTGTTATATTTTAAGCCGCCGTATTTCTTGAGACCCCTCTTGAGTCTGTGAGGGGCAAGATATTTTTGAAAGTGTCGCGTATCGATTTATTCCACGAGAAACTTCCTAATTATGTACGTTTCCCTGATGACCCCATCTCCCCCCCCCCCCACTTTACAAACCTAACACGAAATTGAGTAGGGGTCGGTTGTATCAAAGGCGTTTGGCTTAAAGGGTGTATAGGCAAAAAATTAAAAACATTCCTTCTCAATTACATATATTGTAAGTACTTGAACTTAATTTTTATCAACTAAATGAGAAGTTTTATGCATTGTTATTATGTTTAGACAGAAAAGAAAAGTTTAGTTTGCTTGTAGTCAATAGTTCATAGATTTGTTTAATTTATACAACCGACCCCAGATATCTATTTATCGGCCGTTGTTCGCACGCAAACAAATATGTAAATGCTTCATATTTAACTATTGGCAAACGGTTGCCTGTGGTCAGAATGTCTGACACTATCAATCCAAAATTCGTAAATTAGTATTGCAGGAAACATGCCGATTGTCGGAGAATCTTTTTATCGAGTATATATTTATAAAGAATATATAGTGTACACAACGCAACCACGTCCAAATTATGTTTCTCCTGGGATAAATCGATGTGGACGTGTTAAATAGCAAATGTGTTTCTGTTTACATAAAAATCAAGAAATCATCTATATCTATATAACATTACCTAGCTGTTGGTAAATAATTTGGTATTTATTCCACATTTACTTACAATGGTTGATGCTTCTTGAAACTTTACGTTAAATATCGATGAGATCTCTCGTACACTAAAGTTGATGTTATAAAAATTACAATTTACAAAAAAACAGACAAGGAACTACATTTAGGCCATATAAAATAAATTCCTTGATTCTCATCGCTAAATTTTAAAAACTCCCAGGAGGCGGGAGCTTTATATTTTATATTTTATGTCAAAATATTAAAAAAAAAGTTAAAAATTTAAAAAATTGGAGAGGGAGGTCTTTTTTTATATTTTGATATTATAGAAGAACGCTATATAAGTGGATAATTGCAATGCGCCAATGAACATTCATAAGGGTCCACACAAATCGTTGTAATAAGGCTATAAGCCCATTTTTTCCTTCAGTATTCCGAACATCCCTTAACATGTTGCAATATTAACGATAAAACAATTTTATATCGCAAAAATTCCAATATAAAATATAAAAAAAACTAAATATGTGAAGATGCTCGGTCGGGCGGTAAATTTATATTTTATAACAAAATACAAAAATATATCAACGCGGAAACCAAAATATCGTCGGGCGGTGATGAGAATCAAGGAATTTATTTTATATGGCCTTAGGAATGTTTTATACTAATCGAGTCCATGTTTTACTAATCGAGTCCATGTTTTACTAATCGAGTCCATGTTTTACTAATCGAGTCCATGTTTTACTAATCGAGTCCATGTTTTACTAATCGAGTCCATGTTTTACTAATCGAGTCCATGTTTTACTAATCGAGTCCATGTTTTACTAATCGAGTCCATGTTTTACTAATCGAGTCCATGTTTTACTAATCGAGTCCATGCATGTTTTACTAATCGAGTCCATGTTTTACTAATCGAGTCCATGTTTTACTAATAGAGTCCATGTTTTACTAATCGAGTCCATGTTTTACTAATCGAGTCCATGTTTTACTAATCGAGTCCATGTTTTACTAATAGAGTCCATGTTTTACTAATCGAGTCCATGTTTTACTAATCGAGTCCATGTTTTACTAATCGAGTCCATGTTTTACTAATCCAGTCCATGTTTTACTAATCCAGTCCATATTTTACTAATCGAGTCCATGTTTTACTAATCGAGTCCATGTTTTACTAATCGAGTCCATGTTTTACTAATCGAGTCCATGTTTTACTAATCGAGTCCATGTTTTACTAATCGAGTCCATGTTTTACTAATCGAGTCCATGTTTTACTAATCGAGTGCATGTTTTACTAATCGAGTCCATGTTTTACTAATC